ATTTCTGACCTCATTCAGCTCTGCAGCTTCATTGTAATGGAGGCACAATCTGAGAAGTGGGAGATAATTGCATTATTTGTTAACAATTTTGGTGTGGCAGCCAGTGTTGGCTTCATGGTGTGTATCGCCCTGGAAAGGTAGCTATCTGTCTATCCAGTATGTGTGTAGCTACTTCCATTATATTACTGTATCATTCTGAAGCTCCATCTTGTATTACAGGTATTTGGTCATCGCCTGCCCGCTGTGGTACCGCTTCAGACGAACCATCAAGACCTCTGTGGTGGTCTGTGTCATGGTATGGGCCCTTATTCTTGTTGTTCTTCTCACTTTCTATTTCTGGGTTCATCCTGAGATCATAGATACCGTCTCCGGCATCTTCCTCCTCCTGCCCCTCCCAGTGTTCATATTCTTCCTGGGTGGGACCCTCAAAGCCCTGTCTGCCAGCCGAGTCCCCTCTGATGAAAAACGACGAATTGTGGGAATTTTGGTTCTGGTGCTGCTTATTTACATGCTGCTGTTTCTGCCCAGGATAATTTATTTCCTGACATACACATGGAACTATATCTTTGACATGCTGTCCCTAATGTTTGTTAAACTGAGTCCTCTTGCAGACTTAGTTCTGTATGTTTTCATGAGGAAAGGGACCATAGACAAGGTTTTGGCCTCTGTGTGTTGCAGAATGGACAGCAATGATATCAGCAGTTCAACAACAACAGTATGAATAATGACAACATTTACACAGTCAGCTTCATGTAAGCAGAAAAAGAGTGAGAGAGAAAGGGGAGGAACAGAAAGAGAAATGTAGGCAAACAGAAACGACACAGACAAGATAGATACTGTCATCTACTGATACGATTTCCAATAAGACACCTAACTGTAGATAAAAGGAAGTAGTTTAGGTCATCGACTCCTGTTGTATGAATGTGGATGCTAATGTAGGTAGTGGTGGGACAAAGGGGACCTTTAATCATGAACTTTATTATGACAAATCACTTTCTGTCACCTCATCCGGTTACCAAGACAATAGGAGCGAAACACCTTTCCTCTTCCAACCTGCATCAGAGGACACCACACACAAAGACATTTGGATGCCGGGAAACAACATTTCCTAGCCTGGCTCACAGGGCCGCCAGCTGATCAGCACAACACACCGGCAACTCTTCTTCCTCACACACACACCTTTTCCTTTAGCTTGTTCCCTTTTTAGTTAGATTGTACATTGTGTATTTTTAACTGTTTTGCTTTTATTATCACTTTAATAAATACTTGTGTTTATACATGCATATTACATTTTGCACAAGAGTGGATGATATCAGCCTCTTCTATGCAAAATTCCAAAGCCTTCCACTTCAACTATTAATAGTGATTGTGGTTATAGTTATTACTTTTATTCATCCCATTTCTAAATTGATCATTTAGTGTAATATATGAGACTGAATCAATCAATTTCCCTTCTTTAAAGGTCTTCAATGTAAATTTAAGTCATTTTCTATTATCTTGTTATAATAAATCAATGTTGATAGCCAAGATTAATTGATTGCAACCAACATTTTTTAATCTTTAAACCCCTGTTATTTTTTAAATTTTAACACTGGTACCAACAGATGGTACCGCTGTGATTTTCATAGCACCTACAATAGAGAAACTCTTGCTTTAGCCTTTATTTCAGTACAGAAAGTAGTCCTTCAGCTCATGTGAGGGAAAGTCGCCAACTGCTGATCTAATGAGTAACTGCACCTCACATTTGTAGATTTCTTCTTCAGCATTTTTTTAAACAAACAGGAGGGAAGTTACAAATGTCACGTGGTTTACAAACTGACAGGAAACAATCCACAAATGTGCAAGTATTACTGTATTTGCTGTGGAGAAACTATTTACGTTTGTAAAACATTTTTATGCTAAATTAAAATCCATGTTTACAAACTAAGTTATGCTTATTGCAAATCGCTCTGGACTTTTATGGATATGACTTTACACAGCACAAATAATAAAATACATGTTTGAGGATAGTACAATATTTGTGGTTTATAAAGGCAAACTCAGTATAGAAAGATAGGGCTGCCTCTCGTTGCCATCACGCATCCTACGTGGACCAACTGTCAGACTTTGTTGAGCAGAAAGACAAAGAGGAAATATTCTGCAAACACTAAAGGACCATGTGTTAGGTTGGGGGGGTCCGGTCTGGGCCACAATGGGCGATTTTTTGTCCCAGCCCTGTAGGCTATATTGCCTTTTAAGTTAAAAAGAGGAAATATTCTGCAAACACTGAGGGACAGTGTTTTAAATTAACGCTACAGATTGTATCGTTCAAGGCGCACTCACATCTCCCACCCAACACAATGACACTTTAACGCAGGAAATGATAAAGTGATAACAACACTAACATATTTGGCAACTGGAAAAATGCAGCAGTGATGACTTGGGTCTTTGGCAACCTTCCATCAGCAGAGTGTTCACACAAACAATGACAATAAATTTCATTTCAACTGGATGTCCATACCTCGCAGACAAACAAAAGGAAGTTAATTACCATTAATATCAAATCCATGAAGTATTAAACCGAGGAGCATGGTAAATATACCTAAGCAAATACATATAACAGCTGTCAGTATGAAAATACCGTAAAACTTCAATTAAAAGCAGGTTCCCAAATAGACAGGTCTCCTAGCCTGGAGTGGCTACACATTTTGCATTTACGCAAAATGCACGGCAGCATAACTTCATTGATTATCTGAATTAATAACTGTTCTTCTACACACACACACACACACACACACAAACAAACAAACACAGTCCAGGTTCAAGTTGTTTGTGAACTGGAGAAAAACACAAATGCTAATAACAAATAGCCTGCACCTGAAATATGATTACTTCTGCTGCTACCACTACATTATAAGCACCAATTGAAACAATACTAATGGACATGCTGCATTTAGGTTGCTGATGGGTCATTTGTTAGACAGTTGGTGGAAGCCAGTTTGGACAAGTAGTGGTTAGGATTTAGTTAGGCTTAGGGTAAGTCAAGAAATGAATGTAAGTCTGTGTGTGTGTCTGTTTGTGTAAGTGTGTGTGATAAGCGAAAGGGGGTGGGGCTCTGTAGCAGAGTCTATTTAACAGAAGAGACTCTGAGGCTCATATCAGTCAGTCATGGGTATTCCAGGGATTCAGACATGGACCTGGACATTGCTTGTGTGCCTGAGCTGGATGTTTGTGGGTCCAGTGGTGGCAGGACCGTAAGTATGCTCAAACTGTCTGAAAACATTTCTATTATCTTAATATACAGGACAGTTGTACAGTGGAGTTGAAGGATGTTTCCCTTGTAGTCATTTTCAATCCATTCTTATGTGTGCCAGACGATTGGCATCTTCTGCTTATTTTCTGGTATAATCTTGTGTTAGAGTTTCTTTCAGAGTCTATGAGGTATCTACTATATGTTTCTGTGTCTGTAGGCAGTACATGGTAGCCATACCTGCGGTTCTTGAAGCTGGAGCTGAGACCAAGTTCTGTGCGAGTCTCCTGCAGCCCAACGAGACTCTGGTCATGACCATCTCTCTGATCTTCCATGAGAAGAAGACAGTCCTCTACCGGAGGACTTCCGGCACAGAATTTCATACCTGTGTTCAGTTTCAGGTTACCTCGTCACACAGTTCATTTAGTCCACAAAAAATCTTGAAAGCTGAAAACCTTGAAACCTGAAATATCTGTCCAGAATTGATGCCACATGCTACAAATACTGTTTTCTGCTATTGTTTACTGATGATTTTGAATTTTAAAGATTTAGCCAGAATCAGTACAATAAGGCAAATTAGTTTTTGTGAGTTAATAATTCACTTAGCTGGTCTCTGTATTTCTGCCACAGGCTCCTTTAGTACAGAATCAAGAGGTGCAGAATTTCAAGGTAGAAGTACGAGGCAGCACATTTTACTCAGAAGAAGTCAGAAAAGTCATGTTCAAAGTCTATCGACCAGTTACATTCATCCAAACAGATAAACCGATCTACCTCCCTGGACAAACAGGTAATTATATACTGATGATCTAAAACTCATCATTGTACAAGTCTTTATCAAAATGATAAAAGTACAGTATTCATAGTATATAGCAGTGGTTCCCAACCTTTTTCCTTAAGGATGCCCTTTTCTACCATTGAGTAAACTAAGTGACATATTCTAAGGATATTTCATATTATATTAAATGCATAACAATAACAGTAGAGAACAACTGATAAACTGTACAACAGTGAACACAGTAACTGCAGAAAGGTTGTGTAAAACCTGTTTTAAATATCATGGATGGATATACCAGGGGTATATAGTCTGCTAGCCTTTATCCCAGTACATGCTGTTATTAGCTACAGATCCCCTCCTGAAATAAATGATATAAAGTAATCAAATATTAGAGTAGTACTTCTGATGAACAGATGAAAGTTACAAAAACACTGCTGAAGTGAGATCTTAGTGTTGATGTCATTCAAGTCAGATATATGTCAAATATAATAACAAAAGGCTTTTGTGTCTCAATCTAATTCATTGCATTTGAAACTCTGATAATGATGATGTCCCTTGATTTCAGTGGTGTGTTAGGATGTTTAATAAGATAAAGAAAAGACACTTGATCTCTTTGCATTTCTCTCAGTGCATTTCAGAGTCATAACACTGGACACCAAGTTCAGACCTGCATATGAGCTGGTGAGAGTTTGACCGATCTGGGCTTTCTCAGTAACACTGAGCTCTCAGTGATAACAGTGCAGGGTTTTTTGTGATCATATTGAATTTGAATACTGGAGGTTAGATTGACTGGAAATCATCAGCCTTTACATAAATCTGTAATAGGCTCCAAAAATATGTCATTTTAACATAAATATACAAGCATTCATGAACTGAGGGTTCTTAATTGCCCCTCCAGTCTTTAAAGTTACCCCTCCTTGCTTCCCCTCAGCCTGGATGGCACATGGGTAAAATGTATATATAAAATAAAAAAACACAACTATAACTAAACATTTAAAAAAATAGAGAAAACATTAGTTAAAAATGCAAAACTGTATTTGTGTATAGTGGTGCAAAATTGAATTTGTGCCCTAATGAGCCACATTAATCACCCCAGCCAGTGGAGTGGAATTAAACAGAATAGTAAAGTGAAATCTAGCTTGTGCTCTTTAACCCTGGCTAGGTGTTTTAGCAGTCTGTATAAATAGATCCTCCTGCTGGTTATGGGTCAATAGTACAACCACGGCCCCTTTAGGTAAACCTTCATCAGTTGTTGCTGTGAAGATCTATTTACTCTGACACTCATTCTAAAGTGACCTGATATTTGGTAGCAAGAGAATCAAATTTGAAGCTGTGAAACACATTTTTTTTTACTTTCAAAACTAAATTACTATAAGTTGCATTTGTCTACACAAACACATTTTCAGTGTAAGATACGAACAGCTTTAATAATAAATATCAATAACAAAGAAATGAAGCCTAAATAGATGTAGTGTCTTGCAGTCTATGATCAGTAACCATACTGAGGGCAAAACATCAGAACAACTAAAGTTTATCACCAAATGAGTCATGAAAACAATTACTTAATGTAACTGGACACACATAACAGACCTTTTTCACAGTAGCCATTTTGACATGAAATAGTAGCATAAACACAATGACACTCAATAAGGTTCTGTTTCTTTTAGTGTAGCAGAGTCTTTCCAGTTTGCCAACATGCTCAACAGCAGCATCCTGA